AACAGCTAAGAATTCGCTTTAATAAGTTTAAATCTTCTTCAAAAATTACATCCCATTGCACTGACTCAAACACTTAGCTATGATTTCAGAATTAAGCAGTAATCTCTAAATTAGGTAGATAATCTCTAGGAAGTTGCAGAGAAGGAGTAAAGTACCTTAAAGCCTTAAGAAAGACTAATCATGTACTGATTCTCATAAGAGGAAAAGAGAAATTATTTCCCAAATCACAGACTGAAACGATGTCATTCTCTGAAATTAAAAACAAAACAAAACAAAACCCAACAACAACAAAAACACCCCAAAAGAAACAAAAAACGTTTCCGGCACTGATGACCTCCCCATGAGTACATGCCCCTGGCAAAGGACCTCCTGTACCTTTCCCTGGAATGCTACAAAAGTACTACTGTCTTGAGCCACACACAAACGGTAGTTGTCTGTGTTGGCTGCTCCACTGTCCTCCGCCAGCGCACAGGAGGAAAAGCAAGGCTTACAGAAGGATGCTCCTTCAGGCGGAAGCAGCACTAAAAGCACCCTGAATCAAGATGAGTGGGACACTATCCCAATAAACAGATTTTGGATTAAAAAAAAAAAAAAAGCTTATCAGACAGACTCTATGATCCCTTAAGAAACCAAGTCTTTCCCATAAGAAATTACAAGAGTTTACACTAACCTCTTTCTTTTTTGATAGGATTACCAGACCTAGAAATTCAAAGAATACTACAGATGGTGTTCTACCTCAAGTTTATTAAAGCATGTAATCTAGTTCCTCATGACAATAAAATGAAATGCAGGCCTGATAACAGAGTAAGACTAATAATTCATGGATCTGTTTCATGGCATGATACAGGATTATCTTAAGATTTACCAAGATGCAGAAGCCATGCATAACAAAGTGAGAAGTATAGCTAATATGATAAAATCAACTCAATAGGCTGAAATAGTCTTGAAATCAACAAGATGTAAACTGATAAGGATAAATAAAAAGGTAATTTTTTAAAACTATCTCAAGAACAAGATGGGAAGACTGTTTTGATGGGTGCAATTCCTGGGGGAAAGCCCTGGGTGCTTAGGTTGACTAGAAGATTAATACAACACTACAAAACAGCTAGGACAGATACTATAGTAACAGTTCTGCCACACTCCCCATGAATCCAATCATATCTGGAATCTACACCTCACCTTATGTAGGGCATTTTGAGACTGGAAAGAGTCTAAAGGAAGGAGACCAGAAAGTCATGTCACATAAAGAAAGTTTAGGGCACAGCCTGCCAATTGCCTCACCAGAAGGTTCACTGTGTGAATAAGGAAAGGACTTAATGTTGTTCTAAGAGTCACAGAGTAACTAATAGACAGAAATTACTAGAAAGCAATTTCTACTCAACATGAGGAAGTATCCAAACATAAGACTGACCGCTTCATAAATAGTTCTCGTGCCACCACTAGGAAATGTTCAGGCAAAGGCCAAAAGACCATTGAGAACCTTGCCAAAGGGCCTGCAGCACTGGGTAGGAGGTTGGTCTAGATAATCTCTAAGTCCCTTCCAAACATGAGAGCTTTGATCTTGGGGAAAAGGAGACTAAAGCTGCTTGACACTGAATCACTCAAGATTAGCAAGAACTCTTGATGCAGAATGCTCTAGTGCAACATATCCCAAACTATATCACTGAATGCTGGCAGAGAGGTTAGGAACACAGGCCTTGGTCAGACCAGCCTTCAAATCCCAGCCTTGCTACTTACCTAGCTGTAGGACCTGAGCGAGCTTCTCAAACTCAGCACCTTAGTTTCCTCATCAGTAAGACAAATGAATACTCTCCCCCTCACAGCACTGCTCAAAGGATTAAGTTAACCACATAGGAGAGTGACAAGCACATAATAAGCATTTATCAAGTGGTATCTTTTATTATTGCTGGAAAAGAAGAAGAAAGAAAAAGAAAGAAGAAGAAGAAAGAAAAAGAAGAAGAAAGAAGAAAGAAGAAGAAATAACTTGACACCTGGTGTGGCTGCAGGAGTCAAGATACTTATTCCAATGTCCCCATTCTCCCAAGAGGCTAGGCCACTTGGATGGCTGCCTGAAGATGGAGAACATCAGATAATGATAACAACATTTATTGGGCACTTTACTATATGCCACTCTAAGAACTGTAACATTTTAATAAAGCCTCTCAATAACCCTATAAAAACTCCCGGGGTCCTGGGATAGAGTCCTGCCTTTCCAGATAAGGAAACTGAGGTTTAGAGGCTAAGTAACTTGCCCAAGGTCACAGAGCTAGAAAGTGACAGGTCAGGCTTCAGAACCCATGCTCTTAACCATTACATTAAAGGCTTTCAAGCCTGACTATACATTAGAATTACCTGGGGAGACACAAAAGAAAGAACTATCTCTGGGACCTTTACAACCCCCCTCCCATTCTAATTTAAATTGATCTGGGAGAGGCAGCAGGGTTCTCCAGAGTTCAGCAACACTATCCTAGGTCATGAGGCCTCCCAGATGAGAAACAAGTTGTAATGAACAACCCTCTCTAGCTGACATCCTAGGTAGATCAATCAGGATTGCTTTTCCAAAAAAACAGAAACAAAAACAAAACTAAAGCTTTTTTTTTTTTAAAGATTTTATTTATTTATTTGTCAGAGAGAGAGAGAGAGAAGAGCGGCAGGCAGAGGGAGAAGCAGGCTCCCCACTGAGCAAGGAGCCGATGTGGGACTTGATCCCAGGACCCTGGGATCATGACCTGAGCCGAAGGCAGACGCTTAACGGACTGAGCCACACAGGTGTCCCTAAAGTTTTTTTTTTTTTTAATTAAAACTTAACCTTGAAAGTGATCCTTTTCAGCTAGGTATCATTTTCCCACTTTATAAACAAGGAGACCGAGACCTGAAAAGGTTCAATAACTTGCCCACATTCACAAAGAAACTGACACTGAATTCCAGGAGGGCTTAGCACACTAAAGAGTTCCAACAGAGGTGGGAGAGAAATTTAAGTGGGTGATTAGGGATGCTTTACGGAGGAAGTAACATCTGAACCAGATAAAGCATGGGATAAGGAAGGGCTAATCAGCAGACTAAAAGGCATGAATAAGATCAGAGCAAGATGTCACAAGATGGGATGTCTGGGTGGCTCAGTTAAGTGTCTGACATCGGCTCAGGTCCTGGGATCAAGTCCTGCATCGGGCTCCTTGCTCAGTGGGGAGCCTGCTTCTCCCTCTGCCTGCCGCTCCCCCCTTGCTTGTGCGCACGCTCTTTCTCTCTCTCTGACAAATAAATAAAATCTTAAAAAAAAAAAAATCACAAGAAATGTTCACAGGACTAGAAGTAAACAGGTAGAGTAAAACTATGGTGCTTCAAGTGGAGTTGTGAAAGGCCTCAGAGGTCTACTTGAGCCCAAACTGTACAGGCACATGAATGCCAAGCTGCACAGCTGTTCTATTTTCCTAAAACAGAAATCCACTCAAGCAGATGCCTGGAAACCCAGCCTACACAGGAAGCAAGGTCATATTTCCAACTTCAACTCATGGTGCAGAAAAAGAGTAAAGCAGCATCCAGAGTTGAGCTCTGTATCCAAGCTACTCTGTCCACTGGGATGGACTGAGGAGGTTTGGGTTTATGGTATCATATACGTACTCTAAGGCCATAGAGCAAAGTAATTAAGAGCAAGGCTTTAGAGTCAGAAAACCTGGGTTCAAATCCTGACTCTACTTTTATTAGCTGTGTAACCCTGGGCATTTATTAAATTTCTTTGTAGAATAGGGATACAAATATATTTCTCATAGGGTTGTTGTGAGAAATGACTAAGAAACAAGTGTGTAATGTGCTAATTGACATAGTGCCTGTAAAACAGCAAGTTCCCAACATGAAAAACTCACACAGCAAGCAGAGACCTTTAACATGCATTCAGAAGGATGCCTACTAAGCCCTTCACAAATACCCAAATTTGCAAATACTAAAGGAGACCTTTTGCACTGATGGATTTATATTAGAGTGGAATAATATGGGCTGTGAATTAAAAGAGTAATTTTTCTTTTTATTTATAAATTGCTTTGGAAGACTGAGGCAGATTACTATATATGTAATTCAGGGTGAGTTCTAGGAAGCAAAATGTTTACCCTAATAAAACACAAAAATAAAATTACAAACCTGTATCACACAAGTATTAATGGTTTTCCCCTACCAATCCCAGTATTCCTGACTCCCCTAAAAAAAACTATCAGTGTGATACACTTCCATTACATTATTTATTTACTTATTTATTTGAGAGAAAGCACAAGCGTGAACGAGCATGTGGGGGGAGGGGCAGGAGAGGGACAGAAACTTAATTAAGCAAACTGCACTGAGCGCAGAGCCCAATGTGAGGCTCAATCTCATGACCTGATGAGATCATGACCTAAGCTGAAACCAAGAGTCGGATATTTAACTGACTGTGCCACCCAGACGTCCCACACTTCCATTACATTTAAAGGCAAAGAAAAGTTAACACTTCCATGATAAAAGCAGAAAATGAGTAAGATTCTGTAGAAGTATAGGTTCTAATCTCAGCTCTGCTACTAACTGGGTGACCTTCTCTGGGCTCTCTCAGACAAGATGATCTCTCTTTTCCAGCTATAGCATCTAAAGACACAGCTAACAGCAGCTCAACTTTATTTTTTTTTTAAGATTTTATTTATTTATTTGAGAGAGAGAGTGAGAGAGAGCATGAGAACAGGGTGAGGGGCAAAGGGAGAAGCAGACTCCCCACTGAGCACAGAGCCCGATGTGGGGCTTGATCCTGGGACTCCAGGATCATGACCTGAGCCAAAGGCAGACACTTAGCCGACTGACCCACCCAGGCGCCCCAGCAGCCCAAATTTAAACACATCACCTCAGAAACGGAGGCTTCACAAGTCCCTTCCTTTGGGAGTGTTTGGATGAGGACTGGACATGCAAGGCAAGGCCAGAAGCACAAGGCCATGGCAGGGAAAACCCATTTTCTGGGGAAATGTGGAAAAATACCCCCCAACACATTGTACCTTTCTTCATCATGTCTCGGTCCAAGGCTACATTTCTTTGGGCAAGATTTACTTCTGATCGAAAATGGAAGCGCTTGGCTCGCTGTTCTTTCTTTTCAATTGCTTCCTAGAAGGTACAAAAAAAGCCAAAGTGTCACACGGAGGAGGAAAGTTAAATCACAAATGCAACATAATACTTCAGTGACAACCCTAAAGTAAATCAGAAGAAATAACCAACATTGTGCCTTTAATAATTTTTGCAGAGAAATGAATATTCACAGTCAGTGACTGGGACAGCATATACTAATACTGCTATAATTTGTAATAATCTCCATGATTCAATGTATATCACTGTGTCTGGGGCATAGTAGGAATTCAATGAATATTTATTGATTCAATGAGTAATGACTGCTTTAGTTCTATGACATTTTACTTATTATCAGCAATCATGCAAACAAATTACAACTACACAATCTCACTCTAATCTTCCACGTGCAGAAACTGAGGTACAAAAAAGTCAAAACACTTGCTGGAGATACTTCGGCTAGCGGGGGGGCAGATCTTCTGATCTCAGTGCTATTTCTAGAAACCCCATCACCACCCGCATTTCACATCATCTGTGTGCATGGTAATCACACCTATCACATTATGTCTGCCTGAGCAGTCCACTCCCTAAAGCGTTTTCCCTGTTTAAAAATAACATTAAAGCAAAGAAACTCTCTCCTCTATTCTAGGCTTGTGTCCATGGAATTGCCAGTTTTCATCTTTAAGTGACAAAAAGCACTGATACTTCACTGAAAAACAAAATAATCAGCTTTTTAAGTTTTTCTCCAAGAGCTAAAATAAGTCCAGGTCCAACTGTGGGTTTCTGATAGCTCTTAGGAACTCTTCACTAATTGTACCTTGACTTTGCGACACTAATTGAAGGTCTGACTACCAGAAAGCTTGTGGGGACTGGTAAAGCGGCAACACTTTGTTATTCCCCAACAGTTCTGCTACTTTTCTTCACTGAAGTCTTCCCAGTGCAAACAACAAATCTACCTTTCCTTAGTAACAACTTAAGTCCCAATTCTAGGGCTACCACCCTTTCCCTCATATATGTTTCACATAATGGCTAACTGTACAAGAGTAAGAACAGAGCCATCTACTTCTTTTTCAATTACGGTAAGAAAACATCTTCACTTTATTCTATTTTCTTGCCTGTCTAAAAGATGACTAGTTCTTTCTTTTGGCCTTTAAACAATCTGCGCCAGATTGAGACCCAGATAAAATACAAAAAGGTAAGCATGACATGTTTATTTTTATACGCCCAATATAGTTAAACAGTACTATTATTCAGAATTATTAATTCAAAATTCTGTTCTAAACTGCACACATTAAAATCAGAATGAATGTCTAAGCTGGATACTATCAAGTATCCAATTAAAGCAACAAATGTATACTGTTTATAATAAGGAAAATAATAGGCTAGGCTCTGTAAAGAGTTATAGGAAAGCTGGTAACCTAGTAATAGCAGCCACTAGATAAAAGGCAATACTCTCAGGTACTGAGAATAATTCAGCTGACTTGGCTTTCAAAGTTTAGACAGTCACACAATCAGGAAATCCTATTTTTCTAAGCCGGCAACCAGTGAAAAATAAAGACATTTACTAACAGCCTTCTATATGCCAGGACTTTTCATGTTTTGTTTCATTTGAAGTGGAAACAGTATTAAAAACAGTATTTAAAAACACATTTTTAAAGAGTAGACATAACATAAAAAAAACATTCCCAGTGCAGAACTTTTTCTTAGCTATGATTAAGCACAGGCAACAAAGTACATGGATTTTATCTTTTCACAAATGTAAGAACACAAATGCTGCCTGTATGTTTTCAGGATGCATGAAGGCATCATTGTATAATACAAAATTTAAGTTAAAAAAATGTTTTAATCAAGCAACAAAAGAAAAATGGAGGTAAAGAGTAACTGCTGTTCCACAAATCCAAGGGACCAAGTTCATTAAGTTCACCTGCTTATCAAAATGAATAAATTATGGTCTGTTTTACCTTGCAGGTGACATCAATTCCAGTGATGAAGCTGCCAGCCTTGTTTTCATATCTTCTGCTTGTGTCCTAACACAAGGGCGAAGAGTGAGAAATGCTAACAGCAACTGAAGAAAAACTCATGATGAAAGACAGCCCCGCAACAGATTCCTTTTGGGTAGTCATTCCTTTCAGCAATCCTTCCTCACCCTGACAACCCTTTACTATGAGGAAGCCTGTCTCAGTAACTCCAGGTAGTACGCAATCAACCACTCTAACAAGAAGTCTTTTCTAGGTCAGACCCTGTCCCAAACCTTAACTGAGTCCATCTGCTGAAGGTATTTATGTAAATGAAAATCTACAGGCTTTCATGAAAAATGTCCAAGTTAAGTAAGGCACACTCACTCATCTCCCCAGCCCACACAGGACAAATTCATCATGCCAGGCCACCAGGTGGAGCACAAGTCTTCACCAAAATGCAGAAAGTCCAGACTCACCTAAACCTCCTACGAAAACACAGCACAGTGCAATGAAAAGAGAATGGGACTTGGAAGTCACAGCTCTGAGATTCACTAAGTACTTGACACTGTACAATTCCTTTGGCCTCTTTGGGCCTGGGTTTCCTCCACGGTATCTGCCTACCCTCCTAACCTCTTTAACTGCTCTCCCATTTGCTCTCCCGAACTTTCCATTTCTCCAACAAAACAACTGTGTTCCCATTTCATAGCCTTTGCACCTACTGTGGCCCCTGCTGGGAATACTTTCTTCCAAATCTGCACTTGGTTGGCTCCTTTTTGTCACTCAGGCTTCAGCTTAACTGTCACTAGTCACTATCAGAGGACTTCCCTGACCATCCTAGCCCATTTGGTTTCCCGCTCTGCACACCTTCCCTGTTTTCTGCACTCTCTGTCCCACTGACACGTTTTACTTTCTTCATAGTATTTACTACTATTAGAAATTCTTAATTTGTGTCCTCCAACTAAAACATAAACTCCAGGAGAGAGTTTGATCTTGATCTTGATCTTGATCTTGATCAAGGGCCTAGGATTGTGCCTGGCTGCATGCTGCACTGAACGAATAAGGGGATAATATCTACTTCACAACTGCACTGATATTTAAACAACATAATGTAGTAAATGGTAAAATGCCACTATGTTAATTGTTGTTACCAGAGTCTTTATCATTTGCTATCTTTAGTGATCCTATCTTTTTCGCTTTTTCCCACTATTTCAGTTTAAAAGCCAGACTTGCTGACATGTGGTAAAAAGTAGTTCATGTTAGATGAGAAATTAAGTACGTAAGAGCCATGCAGGCCTAAGACCAGCCCTATGAACGGGACATAGGACCACCAGACCAAAAGCAAAACACCTCTCCCCACCCCCCCATGTGATAAAAGACGGACCAAGGACCACTGCAGGTTCGCTTATGTTTTGGTCTCACTAAGGGTCACATGCCGGGGCCACGGTGTAGGTGCTACAGAGCAAGCGGAATGGGGACAAGATGACTCTCAAGTCACAAAAGAAACACTAAGTTTCTGCTGCTGACAAGTCCAACCCTCTAAGAGAAACCGCGAGTGCTGTATTTTAACAAACATCAGCTCCAACGGAGACCCTGATGCAGGCGTCACCCGACAGTTCCTCCCGTTCCCGCCCGGGGCCCCGCCTTTATCTCAAGCGCCCAGACAACTCCAGGCCCTCCTCGCTCACCCCCCTGCACAGCCTGGCTCAGAGAGGCAGCAAAGGGGGTGTCCTCAACTACCCCTTAGTCTCCCCCATTTTCTCCAGCCCCCTCAACACCCATTTCCGGGCGCCCTGGCGTCCCTTCTCCCACTCCCCGTCTCTCCTCAAGCCTGGCGCCTCGGCCCCCCCCCCCCCCCCGGCCCCGAGCGCTCACTCCCCTCTTTCCCCTTCCCCTGACTTCCCCCGGCCCAGGCGCCGGCCACCTCCCCTTCCGGCCGGCTCGGCCGCGGGGCACCAGCTCAGCGACCTCCTCCTCGCCCCCGCCCCCCGCCCGTACCGGGATCAGTTCTTTCAGCGAGCGCCGCACCGGCACAATCTCCAGCTCGCCCTCCTCCACCTCCATGGGCTCCGGCTCGCCACGCTCCAAACCGGAGTCTGCTTCAGGCGACGGGAGCCCTAGAGCCGGCCCCGCCGGGGCCTCTGCCTTCACCGACACTCGCAGGCCCCGTACGGCCGCCATAGCCGCCTGCCGGCCGCACCACTGAGAGCCCACCTCGCACACTCGCGGGCTAGAGCGCCCCCGCCACTGGCCACAGAGCAGGGGTCGCTGCTCCCTAGAGTGTCGCCTACTTCGGCTAGAAGCACTACACCCCTCCCCCTCAGCGCCGCCTCCCCCTGGTGGCGGGAGGAACCCAGGACAGCGGGAGCGGGACCTGGCGAGGAGAAGGCGGGCCGAGTTGGGGACGCGGGCGGGGCCTGCTGGAGGGGGCGGGGCCTGGAGGAGATCGGTGTAACCGGCACTTAGAGAATAGGTTCACCTTGAGCAGTAAACCTGTTATAAAAAAAAAAAAAGAAGAAGATGGCAGGAGGGGAAGAATGAAGGAGGGGAAATCGGAGGGGGAGACGAACCATAAGAGACTATGGACTCTGAAAAACAAACTGAGGGTTCTAGAGGGGAGGGGGGTGGGAGGATGGGTTAGCCTGGTGATGGGTATTAAAGAGGGCACGTTCTGCGTGGAGCACTGGGTGTTATATGCAAACAATGAATCATGGAACATTACATCAAAAACTAATGATGTAATGTATGGTGATTAGCATAACATAATAAAAAAATCAACTAAAAAAAAGGCGGCTTTACTAAATGATCATTACATGTCAGTGACTATTCCGACTGCTTGATATCTTACAACTATTGAATAGGTGCTATTACTAGCGTCATTTCACATATGAGGAAACTGAGGCATAGAAATTTACCCAAGGTGACAGGCTATTTATTTAAAGATTTTCTTTGTTTGTCAGAGAGAGTGCACACAAGCGGGGGAGCAGCAGTCAGGTAGAGGGAGAAGCAGGCTCCCCTCTGAGGAAGGAGCCCAACAGGACAGATCCCAGGACCCTGGAATCATGACCCGAATGGAAGGCAGATGCTTAACCAAGTGAGCCACCTAGGCGCCCCTATTTTTTATTTTTCTAAGTAGGCTCCAGCATGGAGCCCAATGTAGGGCTTGAACTCACAACCCTGAGATCAAGACCTGAGCTGAAATCAAGAGTGGGATGCTCAACTGAGTGAGTGAGCCACCTAGGCGCCCGGGTGACAGGCTATTTAAGGGATAAAACCTGAATCTGAGCTTAAGGTTCCAGAGCCTTGGTCTATCACTTCTAGGCAGTTGGTAGGTTTACAGCCAGCCTACTTCCTTGCCAACTGTGTCTCTTTAAAGTCTCCCAATAACTGGCCCATTTTACGTACATAACTATTGAGACTCCAGAAGAGTAGTGAGCTGCCCAAAGCCCAGAGCTTGAACCCCAATTTCCTGACTCCCCAAGGCTCAGTCCACTGTAAACTCCTGAGCATGGTTTCTTGCAACATTTCTGATAGCCTGGTTGGAAGACAGGGAGAGTCCTCTAGGTTTCCAGAGGGCACCACTGGTCAGTTTTTGCTTTGAGTCCTGATTTTGCACCTTCCTTTCTATGTTACCCTGGGCTAGGTCTGGCCCCTACCTGGGCCTGTCTTCCCATCTGAAGAGGGTGTAAGTGGGACCCTAGGGTCTCTGAGGCCCTACTAGCTCTAACCATGGAGGAACAAATAATTATAAACCAAGGGAAGGCATAATCAGCATCAGACATATCTGGGTTTCAAACTGACTGGCTCTGTACCTTACACCATGTGTGACCTTTGCAAGCCACTTAACCCTTCAAAATCTCAGTTTCTTCATCAGTAAAATGGGATAATATTACCCCCCCCAAAGGAGAGTGTGAGGACTGAATGATATGTAGATGTAGGACCCAACAGCAGGAGTATTACACATCAAAGTTTTTCTTAAATGTGAGCTGAATCACAGCACAAACACAAGATGGGGCTCTTTAGAGGGCTAGTTTTATTTGGTGAAAGGGTTAACAAAATTGGATTGAATGCATGGAATGCATGTGCATGAATTTTTAAGAACATTTCAAAGAAAGTTTGTGCTTGGGGTGGCCAGCTTTGGGTAACAGTGATAGACCCCAGCATTACACTTGTTTTCTAGGCCTGAAGGGGTGGGGGATGGGGAGAGGAGGAAGCAGTCCTTCCTCAGCTGTGGCTTCTGGAGGCCAGCAGAAAAAGCTGGGCAGACTCTCTCCTACAATATAGGTACCTTGTTGCTTGAGGATTCAGGCATTGCAGTTCAGCACAGTTCAGAGGAAAACCAGTTCCCTGGGGGAGTTCTAGCTGGCAGGAGAATTAGGAATCCAGAGCAAGCCAGGGCAACAGGCAAACACGAGGGTTCCTAGACTCCTGCCAGGAATGCCCTCTGTGCCTTACTCCTTTTTGGTCACCTAACTTAACCCTACCTCACCCCCTTCACCTCTGTCCTCAGTGCAGCCTGCTGAGGTGGAGCCACAGAATTAGGAGGGGTAAAGAATAATTTTCAAAAACTCAAAAAACATTACTTAAATATAAAATGAACACATGTCAAAGCTTTTACTTACTGATTAATGAATGAGGACATCAGTAAGATATTAACACTAGTTCAAAAGAGAATTTGAGAATGAATACAGAGTTGGTCAAAGGAATGCTGAAATGAACTTAACAACAAAGGTTAATGCCCTACAATGCAAGAAAGTGCAACCTTTGGGTTTCCCCCTTATCAGACAGAAAATATTTGCATTGCTATTGGACAAGAATCATTTACTCATTATAAGTTTCCTATGAATTAGCCTCTACTCTTACAGAGTTATAAAATACTCAATAGTAAATCAGAAGTCAAGCAAAGGGACATGTTCCTTAGAAAATCAGATGATCCCCAGGTGGAACTGGCACGTTGAACAGCACCTGACCCTGAGAGGACATCACTGTAGTTCCTTTTCCTATTCATTTTCCTATTTCCAAAGTCTGGATGATTTCTTATTAACAGAAGAAACCAGGAGAGTGACACATTGGGGGAGAGAGGAGAGAGAGTTTCACGAAGGAAGTGATCGAGTGTCAAATGCAGTGGAACTTGGTTTGTTGGCTGTTGGTGACCTTGAGGAGACCAATGCCCACGAAAGAGAAGGTAGATTAATGGTGGAATGTGAAAAAGTATGGACAAGTCTTTCAAAAAGTTTGTGAAGATGGAGGCTAGGGGCCAAGGGAGGATATTAACAGTGTCCTCTACAGGATTCACTTTTTTTTTTCTTTGACTGAAATCGGCCACACACTCTCCATTCTCTCTCTCCCATTCATGGAGGAGGGGAATAAAAATAATAGAAGCCTATCTCTCCTAGGGCAAACAAAAGGAAAAGCAATTAAAAGCTAATATAAGCTTCTAAGGTGAAATCAAATGCTACCTGAGGACTGGTAATATGGTCCACTGACCTGAGGTGATGACTATTCAGAGATGTTCTTTAATGCAGTTTTTTTTTAATATTTTATTTATTTATTTGGCAGAGAGAGACACAGCGAGAGAGGGAACACAAGCAGGGGGAGCGGGAGAGGGAGAACCAGGCTTCCCGCAGAGCAGGGAGCCCGATGCGGGACTCGATCCCAGGACCCTGGGATCATGACCTGAGCTGAAGGCAGACGCTTAACAACTGAGCCACCCAGGCGCCCCTCTTTAATGCAGTTTTAAATTGGGCACACACAACCCCATGCCTCACACACCCCAGTTTATGTCTATCCTTGGAACAGGGGCAGGTTGTTAGTTAAGGAAAAATGTCCACAGTTAAAGGAAAGCTCATGAGGCAGCTGACCCTGGTGAGGGAGTTGTATCCATGTCCCCCAACACAGCTAAATTCTTGAAAGGACTATCTTCCCTCATTTCTCCATCTGACTTGACTACTCTGTATCACGGACACCGATGGTCACTCCCTAGTTCTTGAAACCACGCACACACTCTTCCGTTATAAAGCCACACTCGGTTTTCCTTTTTCACCTTCCCAGCTGCTCCTGCTCCAGGACCTTTTCCGGTTCTTCCTCTTCACCCAATATTAATAGTTGTCCAGGACTCAATCCTAGACCCTCTTTCTTCTCACCCCATGCTCAATGTCTAGGCCGTCTTATCCCATCCATGGCTTCCAGTTCCCCCACTATACATACCCCTAGGTGCCCCACATCTCTATCTCCAATTTTCCCCTCTCCTCTGAGCTCCAGACCCACACGTCTAACCGCCTAGTACACATCTTCCTTTGAATGTCTCAAGGCACCTCTCCTCTCCTACATATCCCTCTCGTCCATCTGCTTCTCTCCATCCTCTTGGCTACCATTCCTCAGCTTCTCTCCATCCCGGCTGTCATCATATCCCATCTTGTCTGGACACTGCTGTGGCCTTCGCACTGATTTCTCCATTTTTCTGTTTCCTCCACCCTCATCCCTCCTCTACCCTGTGGCCAGACTGGTTTTTTCAGTACACATTATCCAGGCCTGCCTTCCTCTTCAGCTTCATTTTGTACTGTGTTCCTCCTCACTCCCAACATCACCACCTGAGTTCTTGGTAAGCCCCAGGCTCCCTCCTACCACGGGGGGCTTGCATAGCTTGGTCTCTTGCCTGAGCTTTCTTTCCCCCTCCTTGGCCTAGATAGTTCTTCCTCGACTTCAGATCTCAGCTGGAGCCTCCTTTCCTCTGGGAACCTCCCAGCTACTCTTAGCCACCACGACAAGCCTTTCCTATACAGCACTCATACCAGTTCAAAATCATCCACATACATGCATGGCAACCTGATTGATGTCTGTTTCCTGCAGTGGGCTATGAGAGCCATGAGAGCAGGAACAGTATTGATTTAGCTGATTGTCTAACTCAGTGCCCAGGTGTAGAAGGCCCTGGACATATACTGAAATGGATGGATGGATGGATGGATGGATGGATGGATGGATGGATGGGCATATCAAAAGAAAATGAGACTTTTGCCCACATTAGATTTAAAGACATGGAGCACCAGATCTACCCCCCACCTTTACCAAATTCTAGACCAGGGCTACTCAATGTCAACCATCACTGTTCGTTAAAATCGCCTAGGTGAAGATGCATACTTGTAACTAGTAGATAAATAAGTCCTGGAGATGTAATACACAGT